TATTTCAGGGTAATAGTAAACCCTACCACAGGAAATAATTATAGGTCAATTAGGGGGTACACTATGTATATTTTAAATACTGTATTAAAACAAGAAAATTCGAAGTCACTTTTCAATGTTAACGTAAAGCCCGATTTCGGACCTTAATATTGACCTACAATATTTTAGTTGGACCAGGTATTATATTTCTGGGTAATAGTGTTCCCTACCACAGGAAATAATACTAGGTCAATTAGGGGGTACACGATGCATATTTTAAAAAAGTGCATTAAAACAAGGAAATTCGAAGACACTTTTCATTGTTAACTAACGGCACAGTATCGGACCTTAATAATGACCTATAATATTTTAGATGGACCAGGTATTAAATTACAGGGTAATAGTGTACCCTAGCACAGGAAATATTTATAGGTCAATTAGGGGGTACAAAGCGTGACCCTAAAGTTTACAATGTATGCCTACGTGAAATAAAGTGTTCTGAGAAGCTTAAAATGAAGAAATAAGACTTCTAAAATCCTTTAAAAATCCAAAGACATCTTTCAATGGTTAACTAACGCAAGGCGCGATATCAGACCTTAATATTGACCTATAATATTTTAGTTGGACCAGGTATTATATTACAGAGTAATAGTGTTCCCTTCCACGGGAAATACTTATAGGAGAATTAGGGAGTAGGGGAGAGGGGGTCAATTGTAACAGGGTACGATTTTAGCAGAGTAAAAATTTCGAGTCTCGGGTTCTAGATTTGGTTCCTAGGTGGCGCACAAGGTGTATTTAATAAATCTACATGTACACTCCTGATGGCAATCATTTTTATGTACTTTTGAAAGAGTTAGATCTCAAAAGATATTTTCACGCCACGCATGTACTTTTTTTGATATTAGAATATTATATTGTAACAAAGTAATTTTGTTTAAAGAAATAAAAATTAGTAACCGAATATGTAAGTGGACACCTTTATTAACATTTCAATAAAAAAAATTAGTTTTGCTAATTTACTAGCATTGTTTTTAACAAATGAAGCTGAAATGGCGTCTTGGGGACAATTGTAACAATAAGTAAAGGGACGATTGTAACAGCTGAAAATAAATAATCTTATGTTTACAAACCATTACTTAA